CTCATAGATTGCCCAACATGGCCCCTCATAACACTGAGAACAAACCCATGCTATGATGGAGTTGTGAGACTTGATAAAAAGCCACGAATGGCAGCAGTTGTACGGGCGCATATTTGGGCAACACAATCCGGTTTCCGGGTATCAACGTTGTTGGCAGACAAAATCCGTTATGACGGCCAAAGGATCTGTGTTCGCTCCAAGGCTCGAATGCCATTATTTTATATCTATCGCATTTTATCCTTAGGGTGTCTGAGGAACGAAGTCAGTCTGAACATCTGACCAACTGTGTGCGCAAGCATGTCCCTTGCATATATATTACAAGGTAATCCCAGCCACGGGGCCAAGGCATATCCTTGACATCATCCCGAGAGATTGGTAACGAGTTGTTGGGCATGGAAGAACGACGCGGTAGCACTGGCCAAACCTCGTCTTCGTAGCAAACAAGTTTGGCAGTACTGATCCTGTATGGTTCCAGAAATGTGACTTTCTGCACCACGGAAATGGAACAAAAATATGACGAGTTGAGCTAGGCGAACTCCCGGCGGTGTGAGCTGAGCGACCAGGGTTCTTCGATTCTGAAGCTCTCGACCACCATATGTGTGCAACTCTTGATCCCTAAGGCGAAGCGCAAGGCCAAGTTACGTTTCGATTCTTGCGATGAACCCAACGACGTCGCGGATTGCTCTCTTGGTGTGTGTAAGGCCCACAGAGAAAATGAACGCCCGACGACGAGGCTGTAGGCAATGGCCGAGCCTGCGAATCCCACATGTAAAATCAAGATGATGGTATGGGGGCCATGGATCGTACTACGTATAATGAGATGCGTAGTCAAGGAGTTTGCGATGGCGCATTATGAGGAAACTGCCTCGGAACTACATTCTACCGAAGTAGACTGGTCCAGCCACCTCAGCCATTACCTGCTCCCAAAGAAAACCAAATCGTCAAAGTCGAGTAAACTCTACATTGAACTACCTGTACTTACTAGTGATTTTGCCAAGAGCCCAAATCCATGGCTATATGGCAACCGCACACTTCGCGGGGAGAGACAAGCATGTGGACATCAAGCTATTGTAGCGAAGGGTTTGATAGAGGCATCTTCCATCATAGTTTTACAAAGTAGAACTAATGTTGAAGGCATATGGTCACCCACCAAGGTGGACTCCCCAGATGCAGAGAACCTACAGTTGTGTTGCGATTCTGGCAAGACTCCAATTTCACGACCATTACACCGCTCTAATCGCCCAAGGTCTACAAGATACTCGCACAGCTACGCGGCTAAGACTGCATTTAGACAATGGTTCCACATCCACTAGCACGCACCTTTTGCCGGGATGGTCCGTTGCTAAACAGCGATCCACGGATCTATGGATCTATCGAGATCAGCTCCCTTATTAGGCCCCAGTGCTCGTCCCGGTGTGTCTCGGGATTTTCAACACAACCAACCTCCCGAGAATGATTGCCCTTCTGTTCGCACGTAAGTAACACTGGGAATGATCATTAGCCTTGCTGCTCAACGTTTGGCATGTGGTGAGGGTCAAGGTCGGTGAGTGAAATACTTCGGTACCCCGAGATGGAGCAAGAGAAGAGGGGAGGCAAAGCAAGCCATCCTCATGTTCACCGAGGCACCTCTCGGGGTGGTCAGAGAGGTCGAGATACAAGCCCTGTCCGGAAGATTATGTCCTATCATACCTTTGATGTCACGAGTAATGTGTAAGGTGAAGAGAATATCCAGGTGATCCTAAATAAGTACTTGGAGCGCTTCTCGGTCAAGCAATAGCCAAACGGCAAGATATCGGGCGTGCGGGGATGCGGAACACCATCTCGGTCAGGAGATCTAGACCCTTCTCAGCCCGGACCCTACAAGCAACGTTGCTAGATTAATAAAGTTACTACGCGTACGGCTTTTGTGGGTCGAGGGACCACGCTTTTATGGCTGGGTCTAGGCCAAGCCGCAGTTAGGAAGGACCCCCTTCCCCTCCCCTCCCCTGACTCGGTACCTGCCGGTGGCTGCGCCGCAAAAAGAAAGGAAAGGACCTTAGAAATCAGTTGCGGTAACAAGGCTCTCGCGGCCTCTGCCTACTTGGAGGAAAAAGACGACGTTGGTGTGTCTTTAGACGTGTACCTCGTTCAGCCCCCGCCTCTACAAACACCTCCTGGCGAAGTGTTCTAGACTCAATAGGGTAGCCCGCGCTCAAGAACGCCCGCAAGCGGGGAGGGATATATTCATCACGAGGGAGAAGTGTTCGGGCTTACTCCCAACTCCTCCTAACTCGACTCAGGGACCAGAGTACAGCCGTGACTTGTTTCCATCAATGCCGAGCTTAGCTAGCTTCACATCTATAATTACGTAGATGAGTGCATTACCATGATACGAGTTCGTATTTTCTTCCATCCTCTCTTTCGAGGTGCGCAAAGTCGTGATTTGAGCGTGCCGCCATTCAATATGCTCGGAATGGGGTTTGGGCAATCTGCTGCCAAGACAACCATTGGGGCAAACATACCTCTCTCCACGAGTTCTGGGGGCTATAGCGGATTATCTAGCAGGACGACACATCTGGGGCTAAACGTATCCATATCTTGAGAAATATTTTCGGCAGAAACCTTTTACGTCCCACCTCACCTCATCTCGGACCTTACACGACAGGTATGCGACAGGAACTGTAGGTGCTAGAGACTAGGCCTCCCCGAGAAAGATGCCCAACTCTAACTCCTAGAAGCAGATGCATCGGACAAACCTCTGGTTTGATTCTTGTTCGTGGACCAGCTCGCAGTCATCAGGCCTAGAGGGGGTTACGCCTGGCGTTAGGGGTCTCATAATCCACTTTGATCATCAGCATGGTCGATGATGATAAGATACTCCTCCCTATAATTGGAATCAATCTCGGACGTTCTCATGCAGTTGTATCAATGTCAGGGCGAAGAAGCACAAGGAAGCGCTAGAAATCGATGGCGGACGATCCGCTGTGCTCTTTGATGGATGACACCTGGTTCCTCTAGCTGCTCAGACTTGACATATACAGCCGTCCTCCTAGGCGCACACACCATTGACTTAGGGCGGCAATTCAGATAAGGATATTGGCCTCCTTGCGAGGCATTCGGGAACGCAAGCTATCGACCGCTATACTCGCCACAGGATCTGAGCTATGCCCTAAGGGCCCGTCAGTTTAAATGATTCCGAGGGCTCATGGTAACTAGTATGGCAAGATTCCCGGCGAAGGACTCTCAAGGCCGTGGCCGTGGCCGAGTGATGTTAGCACATGAGATAGCGCAACTTGCGGAAAATATCCATTGAATGGCGGCAAACATCCATCCCTAGATGGTCGGAGAAACACGAGACGAACGCCTTTAGTTGGATTCTCTGTTTTTTTAAAACCAAAAGATTTCTTGAAGAAGTAGGTCCCAGCCGAGTGCCCCACTCACTACACGAATTATATAAAGGGGAAGGATAAGGAATGGGGCGATTGCGAAGCCCTATGCTGTTCCCATTCCGCTGCCGGAGCCAAGAGCTGCTTCGATCAGATACCGTCAGTCTCCTTCGAGGCTAGACAAGAATCTGGGTGGGGAAGAAAAAAAGAAAAATAGAGGAAAAATTGGGAGGGGAAGAAAAGAAGCAGCGATGAAACAAAAATACTACCCATATTGAGAAAGAAAGCTAATATGATGGTTAGTTTGGGATTTTGGGCTTTCTTCTCTCTGCACATTGTATTGTCTTGTCCTCGGGTCCGTTTTTCGTTGGCCCCCGTACCCGGTTGATGCGTCTTGGCGCCGTCCATCATCGGCAGTCGGAGTTCGGCGTCGGAGGTGGCCGATGCGGTCGATGAGATAGAAGGAGGCTTGCTGAGTCGCTGAGTCACAACTGTAACTTTCTGGTGTTGGGCATCTCAACTGGAAGGAACCCCGGCTTTGGTAGCTTGATTGGGGGTTGAGGTCACATCACTTAATCAGTGGAGAACGAGCTTGGCCCGCACTTGCCCTCTGCCGGGAACAAGAGGGTGGGCGAATCGATTTGATTGATCAATCCCGCCAGGTATTAACATGGCCAATCTATTTCCACCCATTCGTCCCTGGTCCAATTCCACAGCCATGGACGGCTCGAGCCAAGAGCCACGAGCTGGACATACGTCAGAGAGAGTTGGGAGTTCTCTCAACTTTGTGGAAGGGCCCACGGAGCAAAGAACCAATGGATCTATTCGCCGGGCCCAACGCCCGCCTGGATTAAGACAGACAACTTGAGCCTCGCGGGATCAATTAACCAGTTTTGCCCCATGCCCAACAGGAGTTGAAGGGTTGGCCGCGTGTTTTATCATCCCGTATATCTATGGATATTTATCGCTGCCGATCCGCAAAGTCGGACCGCCTACTCGCCATGCACCCACCGTCAAAGTAGTTCTAGTTTCTCACCTGCCAGCGCGGCGACCAGCCACGTATCCCGCTCCAACCCGAAGGGATTTAGTGGGGAAAATAAGCCCACCACCTTTGCGCTTCCTCACCACGGGCCTCGTCTCTCCACAGCTGAAGATAGATAAGAAACATTTCAAGTCTCAACGGTTCTACTAAGGTTGTCCACCTGGCGAAGAAAGGAGAGGCGGGGCGGTACCTGGCGCTACCCTGGGTCCATTGGCCTCGTGATCACTTTTTGGCTGAGCCATAAGCTTGTGCAAAGCGCCCCTTGCCTTTTCCCCGATGCTAAGAATCATCCTAGATGACTTAATCCGTCTTTCCCAAAGAGTGGACATTCTCCCAAAAACACCCCTTCACTCCCCTAGACCTCGAATACTTGCCCTTCCTCCTCCTTCCTTTGCTCCCTTAGACTCACCTCCATCAATCAACTCATCCAACTACTTTTCTTCCAAAACAGAGAATTCTCGTGAAGATCATTTCGTACCTAGGCCCAGCATCGCACTCCCCCACCATTTAACACGCCATACACACGCGCCGTGGCTCTACTGGAGCACTTGTTCAGAAACCCTTGACATCCCGCTTACTACCGCCGTGTGATAATGACGACACGCTATAGAGTAGAATGTAAGCAGGAATTCGGTTTCCTATCCCTCTGTTTTCCCCACGGTTGCCCTCCATGCCGCCCCTACCTCCCCTCCCGCGTCATCTAGTGATCTTCTCGGCATCCCGGCCGTTGTGTGGCTCGAATGGCTCTCTTATCGAGTGAACTGAGCTAACGTCGGGCAGACGCCCTCAAAACCCACCGCCGCGATCAATTCATAGGTAAGAAACACGAAACGCAGAGTTCACTCCCCATCGCCCGCGCACATCTCTCCGTCAGGAGGTTTCCCTATCACGGGCGGAAGCATCAGGTGGGTGCTACGTCTCCCCAGAGCTCAACAATGAGCCTCTGGCAGCTAGAGCCGGGCTCAGCCGTCTGCCGTCTTTCCCCAACAACATCTGGAATGCACACAGACAAGCCCATATACACCGCTCCCGGGCCCATCCAACACACCCGCGTTTTGTCTAGGTGTTCGCGGCCCTGAACCCGGACTATCCGCTAGGCGGTGAAAATGGTCACGGCAACACTTTCCCAAAGCGGAATCAAGCTGCCCCCACTCCAGCCCGCGTGTCTCCCTCGTCCGCCCGTTCTCATCCCACATCCTCGTTGCTTTTCATTCCCCTTATTTGCTTCTGCCCCTCTAATTCCTCCCATCTCCACGCCCAGTCCATTGGTTCGCTAACCCACCTGTGTAACCCTCAGAATGGATCAAGGCTCTTCTTGCTGTACCCTTTGTTATTCATTCGCAGCCCACGGGCGTGTTTGAGGAGGGCGGAGATGTTGGTGGCATGGCTACCGAGGCCCACCGACGGTACGCCGAGATTCTTAAAGACGTCGAGGGCATGATTGATGACCACAGTAAGTCAGCCCCCTGCCACTTTCATCTCCATCTATAGCCTTGCCTTGCCGGGCTCGCAGACCAGCCCCTCCCCGTTGCTGGCAAGCATTTCGGAGCAACTGTTGCTAATAATCGGCCTAATGGGCAGTAAATCATCAAAATGATAAACACAAGCTCCCCTCTAAGCTAAAGCTCCTCGTCCCCTCTGCCGGCCCTTTCTTCACCACCCTGCCCCTCGAGGCTGCGTTCAAGTACCAGGACTCCAAGCGCTATATCTCATCCCGCCGCTTCGTGGCGCCTTCTTTCAACGATGTGCGCCTCGTCCTGAACTCGGCCCAGGTTATGGCCGTCACTCGCAATCACGAGCTGCAGCTGGCTACGTTTGATGGTGATGTCACGTTATATGATGATGGAATGAGCCTTGAACCTTCCAGTCCCATTATCCCCCGTCTAATAGGTACAACTTGATTCTTCCCAAGCATCCAACCCCGTCCCACCTCCCTCCCCTACTGAGCCAGTGAAAGCTAACCGACTGGCATACTCAAGACCTTATGCGGCGTGGTATCATGATCGGTATCGTCACTGCAGCCGGTTACACTACCCCAGACCTCTACCATGCCCGCCTCCACGGCCTCCTTGACGCCATCGCCACCTCCCCTCTCTAACCTCTGCCCAACGCCACAACCTCATCATCATGGGAGGGGAGGCCAACTACCTTTTCGAGTTTTCCCCGAGTGCCCCGCACCTGCTCCTCCCCGTCGATCGCTCAGCCTGGCTCACTTCGGAAATGGCTTCTTGGTCCGACGAGGCCATCCACTCCCTCCTCGATGTCGCCGAGTCTGCCCTCCGTGAATGCATCCGCACTCTCGCCCTCCCCGCTATCATTGTCCGCAAAGACCGCGCCGTCGGTATCATCCCCCGCGATCCCGCCTTCCGGCTCCCCGCGAAACTCTCGAAGAGACCGTCCTTGTCGTTCAAAAACGCTCGATGTGAACGCCATGCGCAACCCCGTTCACGCCCGTATCCCTTTTGCGCTTTCAACGGTGGCAGGGATGTCTTTGTCGACATTGGCGACAAGTCGTGGGGCGTCACCGTCTGCCAAAACTATTTTGGCAGGAAACGCGCCACCGCCGCCGGTGCACCACACCCTTCGAACGAACCAGACTTTGATGCCTCCTCCTCTCATTCCCCTTCATCATCAAGGGTGAAAACACCCTTCACGTCGGCGACCAGTTCCTAAGTGCCGGCTCCAATGATTTCAAGGCTCGCAGCGTGTGCACGACCGCATGGATTGCGAGCCCCAGCGAAACCCTTGATTTACTAGAGGAGGTTTCTGAGGCTCTGGATAAGACGGCTTCCGCACCTCTAGCCTAATACCGGTGACACAACAAACCTGGGGGGGAGGAAGGCAGGATCTTGTTCCTGACCTTCGCGTATGTCGGCAGGAAGGAAGCCATACTCGAGATACAATGGGGCGGAGAGGCTGGAGATGGTCTAGGAACCGGAGACTAAGATTAGCACAGCTTGGCAAGACGACAGGAGAGGATATGCCGGAAAGCTACGAGTCACGAATGAGCAACGAAATTGTGATCTAGAGGGATTTCCCTATTTCTCCTTAACCCCGTGAAGAGGGAGATAAGGCGACATGTAAAGCGTTCCCTGCCCTCGGGAGGTCCAGACGGCGCGTCTTCGTTGATGAATCTTTGCTTATCTAGCTGTTAGATAGGGGTCATAATTGGCATCCGAAATAACTTTTACCTCGCGAGTAGTGCTTTTTTTTTTTTCTCGTCGTGGCTCAAGCAAAATAAGGTGAACAAGAGGGGATGGGAGCTGCTAGTTCAAGAGACAAAAATTAAGGTTGTGATTAAACATATTGCGACTTTTATGTCCTCAACCCCAGCTTCTATCCTCACCTCACCCAGCTCTCTCCGGGCCGGGACGCTACACAATTGCGAGACAGTCCCCGCTTCGTCTCATTCCCTCGGGCTTTCCAAGCATCAATGATGTGTTCCCCTCAGATATGCCTCTGCCAGCTGGCCATGATACGCGGGGCAAACTGAAATGCTTCCACCCATACAAAAAAGATATGCTTCGACGAAGGCACAAAAGAAACACCTAAGAGCTGAAGAAGACAAGAGTGCAAAATCCACCAACGCCATCATGCCGGGCCACTCCGGAAGGTGTAATGACAAAAGGAAAAGGACTGAAGGAGAGGTCGGCCGTCATTCTAAAGATATGTATATGTACACCCCACCGGTCGATCAAAATAACAACAAGACATTTATGCTGCCTCGTATCCTAGCCGACAAAGAACTACCGTCTTTGTAACAAGCGCTCAGATGCCATCCATATGCGACAGTGGCAACTGAGATATGCTCGGGCCTAAGACTGGTAGAGACATCTGACGCTCATTGTTGGAGAGTGTGAAAGGGAATGTGTCGCCGAGAACAAAAGAAAGCAGGGAAAGACGACGTATAAAGGGATGCCTGGCCTTTCTTGGTGCGTGACATTATACCCTAGTAGCCAGGCTTTCCGGGCATAATACCCACCGAGGGCGCACCACTGGTAGGCGCAGGAGGCAAGTGGTTATGGCAGAAGATTTTGCGCGAGCCCGCCATCATAGCGTCCTTTTTCGAAGCATCGATGGGTGGGGGTCCTCGTATGACTCAAGCTGACAGCATTCAACGTTTCTCAACCATCGGTTGTTCACAACGTCGGCCATGGTGACCCGTTTAGAGGGATCCGGATTAAGCATTCGGAGTAGAAGGCGCCGCAAGGCCGGGGGCTTGATACACCTATCAAAGGCCAAGACATGCGGGTAGTCGCCCTCGGAAGGCGGTTCAACAGCATCGAGATGTTTCTCGTCCCAATCATCCCAGCCTTTCAGCAAAGGCAGATAATTGGGATCTTTGGGCGATGCCTTGCTCCACAGGTTTCCCCAAAATCAAGTTGACCATGATGATAGCAGAGCTCCAGACATCAAGGGCGCGGGGGTCGTACTCGGCCTTCTTCGCTAAGACTTCGGGGGCAATATAGGGCTCGCTGCCACAGATACCGGGAGCGCAAAGGCGCACGTCTCCCATGTTCTTGCCACACACCCCGCCGGCCTCTCGCAAACCAGGGTGGATACCGGAAAATACCTCGGACACGCCAAAATCAGTAATCTTAAGCTTGCTGTCGCGAGTGATGAGTAAGTTCTCGAGCTTGATGTCCCTGTGGGCGATGCCATTGGAATGCAAGTAGTTAACTCCCTGGACGAGTTGCTTGAACAGGCAGTGTCGGTCAACCATGCGCGCCTCCTGCTTGAGGTAGCCCTTCTCGACAAGGCCGAACAAATCGCCTTCGGCACAGTACTCCATGACGTGATTCCATCGTCCGTGATCAGTACAGAGACGAACAGTTTCAACAATGTTTGGGTGGTGTAAACTCTTGGCGATGCTATATTCCGATTTGATCTTCTTCTCGTATTCCTCCTGTGACTCGCGACCGGATTTTCCACGGAATTCCTTTACAGCGTATAGTTCACCAGGTGAACCTTTGCGGGCCATCAGGGTAACTTTGCATGTAGCACCCTTCCCGAGATGCTTGCCGTGACGTCCGAGAAACTTGTGTTGATACTCGTATTCAGTAAGCAGTTCGGCGACATCGACTGTGAAATCGTCCGGGAGGCTCAGACTCATGCGCCGCGCCTTGGCACCAGTACCTTGATCCGGAGGATATGGCCAGGAAGCCGTTCCGCAGGCACAAAAGGAGACTCGGGACCCATGGCAGCGGGTGGAAGAGCCTGAGTATCCTTGCGCCCATCGAAGCTATTAGCTCGTCGCTTCGTTCTCTTCTTGTCCTTATCTCTTCCTGGCACGTTCGCGCTGACAAAGTTGACAGCTCGACCCCTGATGCCTAGCCCGGTTGAGGCACGGACCTTTTTCCTCATGTCATCAGTTGTCGCTGAGGCGCCATCTTGGCCCTGGCCATTCTGGGTGACCCCGTTGGTGCCAGAATGTCGAGTAGGAAATGCCATTTCGAGTGGTGGTGAGCCAGGCGAAGGCGGCGTGTTGAATCGCGCTGTGGAAGGCGACTTAGAAAGCGCAGGAATGCCTTGGGCCTGTGAACTGAGGCTAATATCCGATGTTCTTGTACTTTGAGGTGCTGATTCCCTGCCAGTAGATTTGCGGAAAAATGAGAAAGATCTTCGGACGGCTCCGGCGGTGGAGGAGAAAGTAGAACGTCGGGGAAGAGGGCTTGCTTCGCTAGGACCGTTGAGTTTGATAGTGGAAGAGCTAGTCGAGAGTTTGCCGGCAGTCGGGGGAGGGGAATTAGATTTAACAGCGGTACTAATAACCAGCGGTTGTTTCGATCCAACTTGAACTGAGGAATTGGAGGTGGAGAGACTAGAGGCACCGGGCGCGGGTTCGGTATCGGAATTGTCTTGTGTGCGAACGGCTGTAAATTCTCCAGACTGTCTGCCGCTCACAGGAGTGACGGGTTCGTTGGGCGACTCACTTTCCGACTCGGTTTCCTCGAGGATAGCACAGTTGAGGTCTGTCGGGTACGGGCGTGGGGAGGTCGAGAGCAATTCCGCTTCACATCGTACAGCTTGTCGGATGGAGTCTGCGTCTACACTCAGCCCAGTAAGTTAAAGGAAATAGCGAAATGGGGGTTTTAAAAGATCCTTTTGGGTGTGTCTGTGCGAAGTGTGCAATGTCAAGAGTAATTCATAGAGGGTCCAGGCAGCGGGGAGTAGGACTTGTGATGTGTGAATATTGATGGAGGCGGTGGGAAGAGGAAATAGTAAAATATCAGGTAAGAAGGAAATGGTGCTGGCCCCTAAGAGTAAAGTAACTGTTTTGGAAAAGCCTTAGTGGAGTAAGTGACTTCTTCCTTGTTTCTCTGTTTCTCATGGAGGAAGGGGCGAGGCAGAGACAGTAGATCAGATATAGAGGGTGGCTGACTGAAAAGATACGTATAGATGTTGGCCCCGTTCCTTGGTGCTAGTGTGTAGTGAGAAGCGGTGACGCCGACTTGGGCCACCCACCATGACAGTGAGGATTCCAGATGGCTTGCTTTGTGGCTGGCAAGCAAAAGGAAGTTGCAGTGCAGTTTCGTGCTATGTTCCAGCGAGAGCCATGTATAGTGGTGCAATAACCACGCACATCAAGCCAATAGTAGGAGAAGGAACAGCCAGAAAAAGAGAAAGAAAAAAAGACACACACACATACACAAGTCAAATGCAGGGCGACTTACCAGATGAAGCGATCAGAGAATTAGCTGTCAGCCCCGATTGAGCTGCGAGAGAACTTGAAAGCGCCATTTTCGAGGTGCTGATGACGCAGTATGGCGTAGACTGATGTGATCCAACCAAGAGCGAAGTGTCTTGCGGCGGGGTTATCCTGGTTGGAGGGTCACCCTCGGCCGTGCTAACCAGTTGTACGGGAAGGTGGGAGGTGTTTTCACCAAAACGCCGGGATGAAGTGACCGAGAGATGGAATCGGTAATCAATTCGCCGTCAATCGTACTTTGGGGACAGAGGATCTCGAGACACCTCGAGACACACAAGGAGAAGAACGCCACAGAGCGGGTAATCGGATGCGCTTCACAGTGCGCGAGCAGGATGGGGTGGTGCGCGGACCCAGATTGGTTCCAAATCCGACTTGAGGTGATGGTGGGGGTCCTGGTACAAGGGCTGCACGCGGATCCACTATTCTCCAGAAACAGCGACAGATTCGGGACAAGCGAACCCCGCTAAAGAAGGACTCGAAATCTGTCAGAGGAGAACTCTCGGGTACTGTGTATTGGCGACGCCGGACCTAGGACGAGTGGTAGCTCGGTGGTAGTTCTTCTCAGATAGCTTGAACCTCGATCAGGGACTGCCCATGAGAAAATTGGCGGAATCTCGAACGAGCGAGTGGAAGAGCTGGAACCTAACAGCGAGTCGGAGGGGCGACGATGTTAAACCGGCCAGGTCAAGGCTACCCACGAAACGACGGAGGTATGCGGCCACTTTGAGAGGTTGCGCAAACTCTCAAAGTCGGCGAAGATGAGAAAATTTCCGAATCCTCGGGAGTACCTCGGGGTCGGTGGAATTTCCGAAAGGCAAAAATGCTGGGAGATGGTCTCCGCACCGTAGCCCGTGCCAGTGAGCGGAAGGAACCAAACAGGGCAGATATGTCTAACAGCGTCGATGGAGAGAAGCTCAACGAGCCTACACTCTTCGAAGAAAGGCGCTGTTGCAGACTAGGTTTCTGCCGCAAGTCGGATCGAGCGGTGGCCCAAGAGTAAGTTCGCGTGTTCCTGGATTTTGATCCCGAATAACAACACCCGTAGATCGAAGCCGATACCTTGGTCTTGGGTTTGTGGATTGCAGTTCCGTACAGTTCAACTTCTGTAAAGGGGACAATGGGAGGTTGCCGGGGCCACGAGTGGTATAGGAGGGATCGATCACGGTTCACCCATTCGATTCGAGAATTCGCCGAGCAAGAAACCGATCTCCTTCAACATCGAACGAACTCTTGCGTGTTCAAGATCGATCCAGTTGAAGGTGGGGTGAAGAGATGGCAACTCCCAGGCACGCGAGGGGTCGCACAGTCGAGCAAGCAGGCGTCGATAGGATGTAATATATGAGTATACGATCCAGCCTGCTTATGTTGGTGAAAGGCCAAGGTTGTTTGAAGAGAATAGACCAGAACAATCACGAGGCAACAAATGGAAGAAGAAGTATGTGAAATATCTCAAAAGAGGAAATCAGAGACCAAGGAGGGAAAAGGGTCCAAAGCGTACTTGTAGAGGGGTGGGCGGATATTCACTCTATGTATTCTAAGAGGCGTCCAGCCGATAATACACAATGAGCACCCTAAGCCAAGACCGAAGGCCAAAATAAGAAAAAGGAAAAAGAATAAAAGGAGCCCTAGATACAATCAGACGCCCCCGCGCGTGTGCGCCAGCACCCCATGCTGTATACACGCCTCAACGAATATGCCTTGGGGAGAAGAGGGGATGGGAAATCGAGTAAAGGCAGGGGTGCAGCGTCGGGACTATTTCGCACGGTGTCTTCCTGTTGCAGGACACCGAGGGCGGAGTTACAGCGCAGGCTAGCGCGCAGGACACAGTTCGCCCAAGTCAGCGTCAACATCAAGATCAGTCATGAAGGAGGACTGGAGCCAGGAACCAGCTGGCAAAGGGGAGTGCTCCGCTCTCCAAGAGCGCCCGAGGTTGGGGGTACGGGATTGATTTTCCCACTGTGATGTCGATTTGGGGCGAGGGCATCTTGCACGTCCATGCTGCTCAGCGGCATACATCTGTCGTACTGGGTAGGTACAAACCACACGAGGAGGCGGCGCTATCACAGGGGCTCCAGTACCTGGAACGGAAACACAATTCTGGGTGGTGGGGGTTGTAGGGTTAGCTGTGGAGCCCCAACAGATTGCGACGAGCCCGGTACTGTCCCTGTATTTCCGTGTATCGCATCTCATGGGTGTTGTTATCATCTTCCGCTTCCAGAAAGCACGACCAGTGATGTCGATGTTTTCCGTGTCGCGCTGATCGCTGACATAGCCCTCCAGATTCCCCGAGGAACAAGACGTCTGACCTACCGCCTTGGCATTCTGGCGGACAAGAAACAACGCCTTGTTGGGGGCAAATGTGAGGTTTTTCAGACAAGCCGATAATTGACTTTGCTGGTGGAAAGGCACTAGCGCCGCCAAGACTGCAATCTCGCCGGCAGAAAGAACCACAGGCGACACAAGCTGCCAGATGGAGCAAGACATTTTCCCTATCGTCTCGTCTGTTGACGGCGAGGAGACCCGCCAGTCGGCCCAGGCAAAGCTATCACTGACGGTGGATTCGTTCGCAGTTGATTAGGGCAAATGCAATCCCCTTCACCCGCACCCCCGAAAAGCAGGGATAGCACCCCACACCCCCTTCCTCTTCCTCCATAAATTCGCACGTCTCTGATCCGCATTTAGGCTCTCGTCACTGGTCAGCGAGGTGGGGGATGGGCGAGAACGGACAGGTCAGGGCATTTGTGGGTGCTCTCGGAATCAAGAGGGTCCATGCTTCCTACTGGCCGGGAGGACTAGATCAACGAGGATTTGACGACACTTTCCGTAAACGCAACTAGGAGGTATTATTATCACTGGGGTTTCCCTTTCATCGTGGCATCCGTTTGGCCGTTGCTAATCACGGCATCACTCGGTGTCTCTTGAATGAATCCCAACGAAACAAATTGCAGACGCCTCAGGCCAGACTCTTGGAGGCCGGCCCAGGGACGAGAGCAACCCCTTGAGCGGCGTTGCATAATAATGCATCTCTCGATGAAAATTATGTTCTGCCCTCCACCCCACTGTCTGTTCTTATTTCTTTTATTCCACCATTTGATTTCTCAAAAAGGAGAAAAAAATTGGTCTGCTTCCCTTCTCCCAGAATCTATCGGAGTGGCACCTGAACATGTCAACACGACCGCGATGATGATAATAGATCAGGGCAGACGCCCCTTGCTTCTCGTCTGAGATGCCTGTAACATACTGATTGATGCTAAATTGCTCTCCGCATACATCCCAGATTCTGGCTCTTGGCTCCTTCAGAGGAGCCAACTTTATCTGGACACTTGCGTCTGCGTGATCGACGGGCGGTATAATAAGAATTGTTCTTTGATATAATAATATGCGCGGCGGGAGAGGGCGAGGAGCGTCAATCAAGCCGTTTCCTTGTGACGGGGCAAAGTCATCCCCCAATCCCCCAGCTGCTTTAGCGAGGCGGAGAGGTTCCTTCGAGACTTCAATGATACATCATATAATGACTTGTATAACCTGTTGAGTATGCCAAAAGGCTGGATGATATCAGTCAGGCAAGAAAGTGCGTATGGGTATTAGATACGACTAGCAATATGCATGCTGTAGAAACAGACAGGCGATGAGAGACGATTGCGACGAGCTATTCAAGGAGAAGCAGGTTTAAAACAAATGATCCAGATCGTTTGCGGGCTTGGCAGCGCCAAAGGCCGTCACAAAGGTGGCTCTGTTCATGCCGGCACTTGAATAACAGAAACCTGGGGAAGCCCTTTCATTTTGAAATCGGCGACATTCGGACAGCCAAGGATCTCTTGTTGCTTCTTTTAATTCCCTTTCATTGCAACGTTGGTGAGTGGAAGAGGGGACCAGCCAGTACAACATTTCAAGGGGGTGAGGTGAGGCCCTGTGTAATATGCAGAATATCTTTTTCTGCTCATCACTCGTGGGGATATTAGTGTCGTTGATGAGAATACAAGTAATGAATAATAATGCTTTGACAGCCAGGGTCTAAAGGGCAGCCAGTCGAATGCGTTGGTTCAATCGAGAGCCTGCATTTGATGGCTTCCCTTTCGAGCTTGCTTCACTGTTCCTTGCTTGCAATGTGGGCACGACGCTGTGGGAGACAGGTGGCGGTACAGTGCTAGAACAGTTCTAGTACAGTATCTTGTGGTAAATCAACCCTGAGCGATTTTCCACCTTGTAACCTCATCAGCTGAATGGGTAGATCTCGGTACAAGGTATTGATTGTCCAACACATAATAATGTGACGGCTGCATCGATGCATACATGCTTGTAGAGTTTTCCAACCCGCACTCAGATTTGACCTCTTGCATCAGAGAAACAAGCTCCACAGGATCAAATCAGCCCTTGCCTTCCCAGGTTCGGCCAGGGCCCATCGGTGACCACATGAAAAGGCAAAAAGAAGAAGAAGAAGAAGAAGAAGAAGAAGAAGATGCAGTCGAGAAATGATGCCCCTCAAAGTAAATATAATGAAGATAGCACCAATTTCGCCCCGGCCAGTTTTGTCAAACAGAGGCCTCATCATGATGATAAGACCCGTGTAGAAATAACCTAGCTAGCTCGTGATCCTAGAGACTAGCTTCCGGAGGGTTAGAAAAGTGCGATGCTGTTATCTTCGCGGCCACCATTCCCCAAGTAATCTTTCGGATATCGTCCCTCTTGGATCGCGTGGGACAACTCCGGAGCAGAGTTTAATCATGGTCACTCTCCGCCCGTCCACCTTGTTTGTGACAGTCGGGAGGGCAGGAGTTGCGCCCTGTTGGAGCGTCGAGCGCCATCGCGGTATCAATTGATTGGATCTGCTCGGGAAGGACGGCAAAGGTTGACCCCCTTCCGCGCGCATCCGAATGCAGGAAGGAAACCAAGATGAAAGGCACGAGACAGCTTGAGGCTTTTGCAGCTATGACCCATGCTTCTCTTTCCCCAACCAAGAGGCCTATGGAATACGGTTGTGGAGAGAAAAACGCACCTCAGTCCCGGCACAAGCCTCACAATCAAATCGCAC